GGAACCTTATCTGTCCACATCTCGTAAGGTGTTTTGGCAACCTTCTTAGTTGGGACTAGATTAATGATATGGGCGGCAGTCTCTAAGGCGTACCCCCAGAATGAGATAGGTAACGAAGCTCGACTCATCATGGAACGAACCATGTCTAACAAGGTTCGATTGCGCCTCTCAGCCACACCATTCAACTGCGGTGTCCTAGGCAGCGTCAATTGTGAAACAATTCCACATTCCTTAAGATAGTCATGGAACTCAATACTAAGATACTCACCACCTCGATCGGATCGGAGCATCTTTATCTTCCTGCCCAATTGATTCTCCACTTCTTGCTTAAACTCTTTGAACTTTTCAAAGGTTTCTGACTTATGCTTGATTAAGTAGATATACCCATATCTTATATAATCATCGGTAAAAGTCACGTAGAAGCGATCCGCATCCCTTGTGGTGGATCTATAGGGCCCACACACATCGGTGTGTATGAGATCCAATAATCCCTCACCTCTTTCACAAGTGCCAGTGAAAGGTGACTTAGTCATCTTTCCAAGCAAACAAGATTCGTACGTGTCATCCGAATTTGGGTCAAATGACTCCAACACTCCATCCTTTTGGAGTTGGGCTATGCGCTTCTTGTTGACATGTCCAAGACGATAATGCCACAAGCATGACTTGTCCAAACCATTGGACGAATCAATATGCAATACATTATTTCCCAAGTTGTCTACAACCATCACAGTTTCATATATACCATTACAAGGCAATGCTTCAAAATAAAATTTACCATTAAGGAAAGCATTAATAGAACCAATTTCATTATCAAATGAAAATCTAAAACGTTGTTTATACAAACCATGAAAAGAAATAATGTTTCTCGCCATTTCCGACGAGTAGCAACAATCGTTCAAATCTAACCCTAACCCATTACTAAGCAATAAATAATAAGCTCCAATCTCGGTGACATGCGATGTTTTCCTATTCCCCATGATCAAGTTCATCTTCACGTGCTCCACATCCCTACTTCTTCTTAGACCCTGCAAATCAGAACAAATGTGAAAACCACATCCTGTGTCAAGGACCCAAGAACCATCATATGATGAGTTATTAGATTAAATAGTGTAAATACCTGTGAAGGTGGGCTTTATCTTCCTATTCTTGATATCTTGCAGATACTTTGGGCAACTTCGTTTCCAATGCCCTTTATCGTGACAGTAGAAGCACTCTGTATCTTTCGGATTAGACGAAGGAATAGCAGAACCACCTTTGGTTCCACTTGAAGAAGAACCATTATGAGACTTTCCCTTGCGGCTCTTAAAAGGAGCTTTCCTGTTCGTCCCCTTCCCTTGTCCAATTGCTAAGACAGGGGTAGCAGCAGTAGGAGTTGATGCGACAGCTTTGCCTTTCAAGCCGGTTTCAACAGTTCTTAACAACCCTTGAAGTTTGCTCAAGGTCACCTCATCCTTATTCATATGATAAGTCATCTTGAACTGTTCATAACAAGGAGGTAAAGAGTGGAGGATAATATCAATTGCCAGCTCTTCATCGAAGTTGACATTTAGCTTAAGCAAACAGTCCACATATCTTTGCATTCTTTGTAAGTGGGTCGTGATGGACTCTCCATCCTTCGTTTTGGTTGTTATTAACGAGGCAACAATCTCGTACCTCTCTTGACGTGCACTTTGATGGTACTTTTCCATCAAATCTTGGTGCATGTCATAAGGCCAGAAGTCATCGTAGAACTTTTGAAGTTCGGGAGTCATAGTGGCTACCATGATGCACAACACCTTTGTCGCCTCTTTGCATCGAGCCCTATACTCGGTGATCTCTTCGGGAGTAGCAGTAATTTCATTGATCTCGACGATTTCTTTGTCGAGAATGTCTTCCTTGTCCTCGTACCTTAGGGCTATACGAATGTTGCGAATCCAATCGTTAAAATTGGATCCAACAAATGTAACCCACCCACAAATGCCCAAGAGAAAGTGGATTTGAGGAGTTTGAGCCTGACGTCTAAAAAAGAAAAGAGACAAAGTTTAGATTAGATAAGAATCCATAATATAACACTCAAATGAAATATTAAGGCTATGATCCAACACAATATTCTACAATTCGAAAGAGAGATGCCGTAATCCAATTGCAACATAGTTGAAGGTAGGTAAATGACGATTTACCAATTTCCACCATGAAAAACGAAAATAAACATTAGGTTTTAAATTAATTGAAATTCCTAGATTCTTTGAGATTCATTGAACTTTTCAATGACATGTTTAATCTCGATTATGCCCTTCAATTTGTGACTGGGATACCGAGGATCACAAATAAGGTGTGAATAACCATGCAAATGTGCTTGGTACTCTCGATGTCATTTATCACCTAATCAATGTGTCGGTTAACCACACACGCTCCATTGATCTATGATAAACATCGAGCTACCATTTGCCACCCTTGTTAGTCCAAGTTAGTATGTCGGTTAACCACACACGCTCCACTAAAGACTTGGCAAGGTACAAAGTGCAATTTCATGGAATAGCATCATTTTCATATTTTTTCTAAAGTAACTAAGATTGGGAATTTATGAAAACGTTCAGTTACTTTATTATAATCATTATACTTATTAATGAGGAATTTAATGTCCTATCCTACCCGTTCAGCTAACGACCCTCCACCAGTCAAGAGTGCGGTGGGTAAGAGTGGATATCCAATGACGGTCATTTTATAGGCCACTTCCTTAAACATTCCTTATAGACCAGCTTCGTGAGTGAGGCCTACTAACGGTAAGACTGACTCATCTTATACATATATATAATCATTAAACTTTTAATATTATAATAGTATAAGGGTTGCATTTTAAACTTTTAAAACACTAGGGTTTAGAATTTAATATTTCAAAATTAAAACTTTTTAATCAAATTCTAAATTCCAAAACTTGAGGGCAAGTTATGAAACTTTTCAAAACTATCTAGATCAAATTTAAAACTATTAAAATAATCATATAATTTTATTATCTAAATTTGACCTAATCCACTTTTATTTTGCAAGATAAATACAATTCAAAATTTACATATAATTAGTTTATCAGATAATCTAGTAATTATCTTAAATTTTGACCATTATCTTCCAATTAGATTAGGATATCTATTACCATATCAAAAATTCAAATTTTTAATTAGTAAAACAACTTTATGGCAATTATCCAAACCTAATTTAAGCCAAAATCCCGAAAATCTACTATCTGACTCGTCTCCACGTCGTGTGATGCCATTACACGTCGTGGAGAGTCAACACGTCATAGTGCATTATGACCACGTCGTGTTCATCAGGCAGAACCAAAAAACGATTTTCCTTTTGCTTTGAACAATTCATTAATGCATCAAATAACAGAAAAAGCACCCTAGTCTCTTATACCACTGATGGGTTTTGAGCACTACAACATTCCTATGGTGTACATGCAACCCTAATGCTTTGGATCTAGGTTTTTATCAAGTTATACATACAAATCAAATCATCCAAAACATGAACCCTAACTAGCATACAATTTTTGAGATTTATAACATAAAACAAAGTTAGATGAATACCTTTTCTTGTAGCTTGATCAATCTTGACCTTCAAGAACTTATTGCCTCAAATGTTGCACCTCTAGTGAGTCACAAACACCAAGTAGCAATGGAGGATTATGAGAGAGAGGTGAGAGGCTCCTAAAATCGGCTAGGGTATTCTCTTGGAAGCAAGTGGTCGATTTTGGGAGTCCTAAGGGTTCCTTATATAGCTGAGTTGTTAGGGTTTCTGACTGGAACTCTAATTCTCTGCTTAGGCCTTAAGCAACCCATTAGATCCTTCCAAACCCCCTTTTGGACAAATTCTATGTGGGCTACACATAGAATTTCGTCCATCCCTTCTTAGGGATCCACAAGCCCAACTTTGCAACTATTAGATAATTGCAATATCAGTCCCCTTAATTCAATTAGTCTCTTTTGAACACCAAATTAATTCCAAATTAATTTCTGACCAATACTAATTAAATAATATGATTTCTCAATTAATATATTATTCTTATAATATATTAATAAACCACAATTAACCTCTTTCTCCATAAATCGTCCTATCAAATTGCTATGGTGAAGGCAACCCAAAAGGACCATGCTAATATCGGGTCAAGTACATACAAATTATAGTTATGAGCTTAGACATCTAATCCAACAGGACATTGGTGTTAACCTCGACCTCAATGATGAGTTCGACGCTACCGAGGGGGAGGGTCCACCGGACGTCCAACTTCATCGACCACTGGGAAGGGACAAAGCGAGAAAGGGGGCGTCTTCTAGTGGAAAATCAACCAACGAGGACGTACTAGCGGAGAAAATCGACAAAACTCTAAATTTTTTAGAAAAAAAAATTTGATTCAACTGAGGAACAACGTCGGCAACAATTGGCACTCACCGATCTTCAAATTATAAACACGGTGCCACAACCAAATCTCGACCCGGAGAATTTAAGGGTGTTTATGAAAATTCAACAAGAAGTTCTCGACAAATATGACAACTAGATTCTATGTTTTTTTTAGTAATTTAGGTTTAATTTTCTATGTTATTTTTATGTTTTTTTAGTATTTTAGTTTTCATTTTTTATGTGTTTTAATTTTTTTTTAGTAATTTAGGTTTAATTTTCTATGTTTTTTTAATTAATGTAACGTGGTTTCAATTAATATAAAATATTTTATTATGTTTTAAATTATTTGTATTTAATTTAATCGTTAAAAAAATTGTGGAGTGGTGACCATTTCCTATGTCTAGTGGGTTGGTGGTGAAGCTGACGTGACGCAGAGACGTCACCACTTTTTCGGTGGGTTGGTGGTGATCACTTACAGTCTTACCAAAGAATTGTCTTTTAATACAATATTTAAAAAAATAGAGTTAGTGATCGCAATATTTGAACTAATAATTGATTCTTTATTTATTCATTATTATAATATCTATTTGCAAATTTTATTTTCATATTCTAATTTTATAGACCAAATGTCCAAAGTCAAAATTTTAACTTTGAGTTGGGTCATCCCCATTAGGCAGGCGGTAGGTGAGATGAGTCGAGAACGAGTAGTATTATATAAAGCGATCATTGCAAGCTTTCAATTTTCAAGCCTCCAACACAAATTAGCTTCCTACCAAATCAACACCAAACAACATACCACATTCTCTGAATTTCACTCACATTTCATCGAACACCTACCTTACATAGATCGTTTTCATTTCTTCAAAGGTACAATAAACTTATAGACTGATTTAATCATTTCAGCAACAAGTTGACGAAGAAATCGAGTTTAATGAACACTAACTGATCTTATTGATGTCGCTTTTCTCGTTGTTTCATTGATTTAATGAACATAATATCACCGAGTTTCTATTTTTGGAACGATTTTCATCTGCATTAAGTCGTTTTGTTGATGTTATTGAAATTTGGTTTATATTTCCTTGTACGCAGTTCGTTCAGCAAAACAAAAAGGAGATGAAGATCGAGGTGAGAGAATCGACGATGGTGAGGCCGGCGGAGGAGACGCCGAGGATCAATCTATGGAACTCAAATGTCGATCTCGTTGTCCCGAATTTCCACACACCGAGTGTGTATTTCTACCGGCCAAACGGCGCCTCCAATTTCTTTGATCCGAATGTGATGAAGGATGCGTTGAGTAAAGCTTTGGTTCCGTTTTATCCGATGGGAGGACGATTGAAGAGAGACGAAGATGGAAGGATAGAGATCGATTGTCAAGGACAAGGTGTGTTGTTCGTGGAGGCGGAGTCCGACGGCATGGTGGATGATTTCGGGGATTTTGCACCGACGTTGGAGCTCCGGAAACTAATTCCGGCGGTTGATTATTCTCAAGGAATTGAATCGTATCCTCTGCTGGTTTTACAGGTATTATTTACAATACTTTTTTATCGAAGACGTGCAAAGATCATATAGAAAGACCTGCAACTTTCCCAGGATGGAATTAATTAATCGGATAATATATTCTCAAATCATACGACAGCAAAGTTAAATTCTGTATCAGGTGTTCGTCAGTCTTTGGTATAATTGTACACCAATCAAGGAATGACGTTTCAATACTTAAATTAAATCAATACAAATTACACTATATTTAGAAAAAGTGTTCCTCCTAATTGTCTTTCCGATGACCTACTATATCATGTACAACGTATTAAAAATTACAATTTTATAATTTTGGTCTAATTTTTAAGTTTATTTTAGTAAATTTAGTATAAATTCTTTTTAAAATCGATGCGAAATTAATTGTTTGTACTTTTTTTCAAATGTTTTACAAATTTTGTTATATTTTTTTATTTTAATTTACGTTTTTTCATGTACAACATATTTATATAAATACTATTAGAAGTACTTTTAGTTTACAATTATACTTATATAATAAAAGTCAGTGCTCAGTGCTCTGTATTCGATATAGACCATTTCATAGTTGAATAACTCTTTCATGTTATAATAATTATTAAAAGGGATTTAATAATAATAATAATAAATAAATAACCATAAAATATGGTAGTTGGATTAATGCGGTTGATTTGGGTATGTTCCACTTAGACTTGGCAATCCGTGTCTACGTGTCGTGTATTCGTGTCAGACACGAATTTACACGACACGAATTTGTTAAACACGAACACGACACGAATTATAAAACGTGTTTGGGATAACAAACACGAACACGACACGTAAAAAATTCGTGTGACACGTGACACGACACGAATAGACACGTTTTTAGCCGTGTTACACGAAAACACGAAAAAAATACGAATAGACACGTTTTTAATGACTTTTTTAAGCTAGTGCTATAAATTAATTATTGACTGTTACAAATTGGTCCCTAATATATTATAAATATAAAATTTAACCCTAAAGTATATATGTGTATATACGTGTTTGTACGTGTCACGTGTCAACACGAATTTGTATCGTGTTTTATACGTGTCTAAACAGGTAAATTCGTGTTTGACACGTGTAAGACACGAAACACGAATTTAAAATACGTGTCAAACACAAATAAACACGAATTTTGAAAACACGTACACGAAAAACTCGTATCGTGTTCGTGTTGTGTTAATCGTGCCGTGTATCAATGTAGGTGACCTACTTCAAATGTGGTGGAGTTTCACTCGGAGTTGGGATGCAACACCACGCGGCAGATGGCGCGTCTGGGCTACACTTCATCAACACCTGGTCCGACATGGCACGTGGGCTCGACCTCACGATCCCACCTTTCATCGATCGAACCCTCCTACGAGCCCGGGACCCACCCAACCCAACCTTCACCCACGTCGAATACCAACCCGCTCCCCAAATGAAAACCACCACCACCGCCACCGCCACCGGCGAACTCGAACAGCCACCTCCGGAAACCGCCGTCGCCATTTTCAAACTAACACGAGACCAACTCAACGCCCTAAAAGCCAAATCAAAAGAAAACGGCAACACAATCAACTACAGCTCTTACGAAATGCTCTCCGGCCATGTCTGGAGGTGCGTCTGTAAAGCTCGTAACCTCCCCGACGACCAACTCACAAAGCTATACATCGCCACCGACGGCCGCGCGCGTCTCCGGCCGTCGCTTCCGCCTGGGTACTTCGGAAACGTCATATTCACAACCACTCCAATAGCGGTTGCTGGTGAGCTAATGTCGCAGCCTACATGGTACGCCGCCGGGAAAATTCACGACGGATTAGTGAAGATGGACAATGATTATCTGAAATCGGCGCTTGATTACTTGGAATTACAGCCTGATTTGAAGGCTCTTGTTCGTGGTGCTCATTCGTTTAGATGCCCTAATTTGGGGATAACGAGTTGGGCTAGACTTCCGATTCACGACGCTGATTTTGGGTGGGGGAGGCCGATTTTCATGGGTCCCGGCGGAATTGCGTATGAAGGGCTGAGTTTTGTGTTACCGAGTCCGATTAACGATGGGAGCTTGTCGATTGCAATTTCATTACAAGCTGAACACATGAAGGTTTTTAGTAAGTTTCTTTATGATATATAAAATGGCTGATTTATGGCTATGGTTATTATATGTTTTTTTTATAAGTTTATTAAACCTTTCCCAAATACATTGATGTATGTGAATGGAGGCTGAAAATGTTTTTTTGTCAGCTTATCGGTTTATATTGCTTTTATGTCAATGTAAGTATGGTGTTGTATGTTTTAAAGGCACATAAAAGCAAATCTATGATATGATAAGTTTATTGTGAAGGGTTTTGTTTATGAAGATCGAAATGTAGGCATGAAAATGAAAAACAATTCTGTTTGGGCCAGAAAGTAGACGCAAAACTTTTAGGGGGTGTTTGATACACAGAAATAAACCAAGGGAAAAGGAATTGATTCTTTTTCTCTTGTTTGGTTAATAAAAAAAATAAGAAATTAAGAAATAAATCAATTTCTTTTCCATCAAAACAATTCTCTATTTTTAAGAGGGAAAATGGGAGAAAAAAAAAAAAAAAAACATCGACTGAGGATAAGATAAAAAAAAACGGAGATTTGAGTTTACCTCTATTCAAACCCCATTAAGAACATACATCTTAATTTTATCGAATGCATACTCGATTTCTCATGCGATTGCCCACGTCTTTGTATCGGCCCTACAAAAAGCCGTACATCGATTGGATTATCATTCACGACTTCAATTTGTTGCTGATTTTCACCGTTGCTCGATTGGAACATTGGCGATTTCACTTATTCTTTGTCGATTTTATCACCATCCTCCTCCAATTCAAGGTAATCTTGCTTTGATAAAACCAATTTTTGATGCTTGAATGCTATTTTTGTGTTATTTGAATGTCAATTTTGACTATTACATGTGATTTGCATCTGGTTTGTGCTTGAGTTTCATTTACAAAAGCAATTTGTTGTGTACAATTTTAGTTTTTTTTAGATTGTTTTCTCTTATTTGAACAACCATAAAATGTTCATATGATCTCGGAATGAGACGCTATTTTTTCCAGATTGTAGTCCTTAGTGTGGTATACATTTTAGGCTCCAGAAATAGCTTATTTGGTTTAGTTTTGGCTGAGTTATACAACTCTAAACAGTGGCTGTTATGAATGTTGTATAATATTTCAATATTTTTTTTGTCCAACTTTGAACCATCATAAAATCTTCATACGAACTCGGAATGAGGCGTTATTTTTTCCATATTGTAGTCCTTTGTGTGGCATACATTTTAGGCTCAAGAAATAGCTAATTTGGTTTAGTTTTGGCTGAGTTATGCAGCTCTAAACAGTTGTTATGAATGTTGTATAATATTTCAACATTTTTTTGATTTTTTGTCCAACTAAGAAGCATCATAAAATCTTCATACGAACTCGGAATGAGACATTATTTTTTCCAGATTGTAGTCCTCTGTCTTTTATACATTTTAGACTAAGGAAGAGCTTATTTGGTTTGGTTTTGACTGAGTTATGCAGCTCCAAACAATGGTTGTTGGGATTTTTGTACAATAATTTAGCATTTTTTTAGCTCTTTTGTCCTAACTCTTCCTTGTTTGTATATATGTAGATGTAGATGACACGAACACATTTGAAACAACGGATTGTACGAAATAGACAAATTTTTAGTACATCTGCCGTAAGAGCATTTTATGCAATGTATGTTATGATTTGTTGGTGGATGATGTATGATTTTGCTATGAATCGTTTAGAAAAAGCTACAATATTATGGGAAAATACTTAATGAGTTACCATAATGGATGTGATAGTATTCACGATATGGTTTATAAAAGTGATAAAACAAGTGTGGTTAACATAAGAATGAATATATATGCATTTACGAGACTATGTGACATGCTTGAACAAAGAGGGGTGTTGAAAAATAGCAAAAACATGTTAGTTGACGAGCAAGTTGCTATGTTCTTACATGTACTTGCACATAACGAAAAAATAGAATTATAGTAGAAAGATTCAAAAGATCAGGTGAAACTGTAAGTCGATATTTCAAGTTAGTCTTAGATGCGTTATGTCGATTACATAAAGAGTTCTACAAGAAACCTGTGCCAATACCCGATGACGAAACCGACGAGAGGTGGAGGTGGTTTAAGGTTAGTAATTAATTATTATAAATTTATTTAATTCCAATATTAATTAAATAATTTGTTTTATGCACAGGGTTGCCTCAGAACATTAGATGGAACATATATCAAAGTTAAAGTCCTTGCAGCGAAGAGAAAACCTTATCGAACACGCAAGGGTGAGATTTGTACTAATGTACTTGGAGTGTTTTCGAAAGGTCTTCAATTCATATATGTACTAGCGGGATGGGAGGGTTCCACAGCAGATAGTCGAGTACTGCGAGATGCTATTAGTAGACCAAATGGTCTTAAAATACCTCATGGTATGATATACATAAAACATAAATATGTAGAAATCTATTGTAGGAACATATAGTCTAACTAAATATGTAGAATCTATTGTAGGAACATACGGCCTTTGTGATGCGGGTTATACAAATGGTGAAGGTTTTTTAACACCTTATCGCGGACAACGTTACCATCTTAATGATTTGACTCGACCACCTACAAATGCTAAAGAATTATATAACATGAGACATTCATCAGCAATGAACGTAATAGAACGATGTTTTGGATTGATTAAATCTAGATGGGCTATTTTGCGTGATAATGCATACCATCCAATAGAATCTATGCCACACATAATCATTGCATGTTGTTTGATGCATAATTTCATACGCACAACCATGACCGAAGACCCCATTGATCAAGAAATCCGTGCAAGTCACACACAATTTGGAGACGAACATGACAACATTATTTCTACCGTAGAGACATCGCAAGGATGGACCGATCGTCGAGATCTTCTTGCTAATACTATGTTTACTGATTGGAGTGCAACGCGTGCCAACAATTAATTTATTCAATGTTTTTATGTAAACTTCATTATTTATTATGTGGTGTTGAAACTATGTTTAATAATTGAACAACTCTATTATTATTTCATTATTCTTATTGATATATTGTATTCATTATGTGGTGTGATAATATTTCTTTAGTTTGAATCTACTTGTAACTTCATTAAAAAATGTTGTTTAAAAAGAATAAACAAAGTAAAAAAAACTCATTTCCATTTCGCTGCTTAATACAACCAAACAAGAGAAATGATTCTCAAAAACATTTCTCTAGTGGATTCACAGTTCTACCAAACAGTGGAATCGATTCTCTTTCTCCAGCTTAATTCTCTTTATCTGCATTTCCATTTCTCTGTATCAAACACACCCTAGTCTTTAAAATAACAAGCGTCTATATAATCAAACACCTATCTTTCTCCATCAAGAAAACCGTGGATAGCAATAAAGTACAACATAGAAATTATGAGTAAAAACAAATAAATTGATTTAAATGAAAAAGTTTGAAAGTAGGGTCTTTTTAAAAAGAAAAAAGAGTGAGGGTTCTTCGAAAAGAAATTCTATATTTCCATAAGAAATAAAAAGAGACAAAACAAAAATTGATTTAATTTTAAATGGAAAAATTTCCAAAAGGTTTACAGAATTTGCTCTAAAAGATTAATCTGTGTCACGTGGGCCATTAGACAATCTAAATTATGTCACATGAGACTAAGGGTCTTGCAACCAAATTTGTACCTATTGCAAATTTGAAACTATTGTAAAATTGAGTTCTTTGGACGTATCGAAACGCGTTTGTTTTTAGAAAAGCAAATTACAAGAAGTAGATGATTTTTGAGTCTACTGTTTCTTTCTCGTTTAATTAGTTTTGTAGTAGGAATCGTAAAGTTAGAAAAACCTTTAATGGGTATATGCAAAACTCACTCATAAACTAATTGTTTTTGTTCCCTTTGGCTAGCTTCTAGCTAGTTTTGATATACACAGCAGTTCCAAAAAAATAATTATAACTATTGCAAGTGATATTGAGATTAAAGATGCCAAGTCTCCTTGAGAGTCTATGCAAGGCTTAAAATAAGCTCTTTTGGAAGCTCTTAGTTATTAGGTTTTAGGATCACACTCGTTTAAGTCAAGTTAAGAATATTTTGGTTTGGCCAGGGACTAGTTAGGCAGTTTGATTACTTGATACACTGGGTATAAAAGAGAAGGCCCAATAAGAGAGAAGAAATTAGTGGGCTTCTGGTAAGGTCATTTGGCCCATATAATACGTTGTTTTAATTTTGATATAAAGCATTTGATATGCAACATAAAGGTATTTGATTGTTCTTTTCAAATGATTTGCATGGTAAGGTATTTGATTGTTCTTTTCAAATGATTTGCATGGTTATTAGTAGATAAATATACTATGGCAATATGAGTGAGCAACTCCAATTTATACGTGAAAATGTATTATATGTGACCAAAGTCATACATAGTAAACATATATAAAAATAAACAAGAAAACATATACAAATTTACGTCGAAACGTAAAGAAACTTGAATTTATACTGACATGTACATATAAGTAAACAAGTAAGATTTTTTTAAGTAAGTTACACAAATCATCTATCGTACAGGTGCCAAAAGACATGTTTAGTCTTTATTTTTAAAAAATTAACTCGGAACGTCCCTCGTTTATTTAAAACTTGTAAAACTTCATCTTTACGGACATAAAAAGACAGTTTTTCCGTTATTTATTTTATTTATTAATCGTTAATTATTAATCCATTAAAAGAAATTGTTTATTAAATATTTTATCTTTTTTTAATTAAATTTATACAATATTTCAACACCTAATCCCGAAATCAAAATCAATGTTGACTAAAACAAAACCCTTCTCTCTTCTATCTGCTGGAAACCGTCGACCACCACCGCTCCATCTCTTCATCTCTCTTTAAGTTCTATCGTTGGAAACATCTTCAAAGCCACCAAAAACTCTTACCAAATAAAATCAGCATAAAAGGACTCCTTGATGTTGAAACCTGCAACTCTAGCCGGTTTCTTGAATCTAGAGTTCGATGCATGAAATTGTGTGCAGATCTTGCTCCAAGTGACACGAATGCAAGAATGTTGTTTGCAGATGTTCTTCAACTGTTTCCAGTAGAGCACCTCTTTCAAACCTCCTGTCAGTCACCAGAGTCAGTAACCTCATCGGAGCAGAGAAACCCAAAACATACAAACATACATACATACACACACACACACCTTATGTTTATGTAGGTGGGATACCTAAAGAGACGCCAAGATAGACACAAAGATTTTGATATCGGAGCTGCAAAAAGGGTTGTAGATCTGCACTCCGGAGA